AGTATTTTACGGATGAAAAACATAATGACGATCCTTTAAAATCGGTAATGTCTGTACAACAACGCGTATGCGATGCTCTAGGAATTAGTGAAACCAAATTAAGAGGAGTATTACAAAATCACAATAGTGAACTGTCGAGAGAAGATCACTGCAAAACTCGCCCATCATTGAAAACGAAAGATATTCCAGATGGAAAAAATTTGAAATTCGTGATACCATTTATCGAATGAGGGCCAACAAGGAACATGTGACCTTAAATACCATTCTCTCGGAATTAATAGATAGAAAATTTGACGACATTGGCAGAACAAGTCTATGGCAAGTGATACATAACTTGGGTTTCAAATTTCAAAAGGAGGATAACAAAAAGGCCCTTTGTGAAAGAAGTTCTCTTGTGCACAAGAGAATTAACTTTCTAAGAAAATATTCTAAATTTAAAGAAGAAGGGGCGAATTTTATGTATTTAGACGAAACATGGATATTTTCTAGGGGTGCAACCAAGAGAATATGGCAAGATGATAACGTAAAGTCCATCAAACATACCGATGGAGAAGGGAAGCGACACATAATTTTACATGCAGGAGGGAATTCGGGTTTTATAGAAGGTGCTGATTTATCATCTAAATCAAAATCCAGTGACTATCACGATAATATGAACACAGAAATGTTTGTAAAATGGTTGCATGAAAAACTTCTCCCAGGTTTGAGTGAGCCCAGCGTAATTATTTTAGATAATGCACCTTACCATTCTAAAGTATTAAACAAAAGTCAAACGAATTATTGGACTGTTGATAAAATTAAAGAATGGTTGACAAAGGAACATTTTCTCAATATATTAAAATCAGAATTATTACGCTTGGCAAATATACACACAAAACCAAAAACCTTTGTTGTGGATCAGATTATTGAAACTTACAGTCATCAAGTTTTACGTCTGCCACCGTATCATTGCCAGTTTAATCCCATCGAATATATACGGGGAATAGCAAAACAATATTATGACAACCATATTGGGCCTAATGGTTATAGTGACGACGCAGTTCTGGAAACTTGGCGAAAAGCACTTTCAATTGCAACTCCAGAAGAATGGCGGAACTGTATATACAAGTGCAAGAAACTAATAGAAGATTGGTAGACTCGTGAAAATAAAATAAACGAAATAAGTCCAATCATAATAACAATTAATGGTGATGACAGTGATGATGATGATTATGATATTTTGGATGATAATGACTGATTTTTATTTTTGTTGGCAAGTTCAATTTTTTTGTTTTTTATTTGAAATTATCTAAATGAAACAAATTTTTATGTTAGAAAATATTTTATTTGAGCTAAATAACCCTCTTATTATACATAGACCATATTTTCTGTGTAAAGTGTAATATAAAATTTTTATTAGGTTTATAATAGCCAAAGTAGACTCCATTAATGAAGAAGTTTAATTCTGCTCTCAATTATGCAAAATATTCTCCATTATTATTTAATTTAAAAGTTGTACATTATTTTTCATTTCATTTAACCAGTTGATATTTCCACAAAGAAAAGGTCAAACTTCCGGGTACTTACCTGGAAATACTCATAAAATTTTTAATCCGAAGTAAGTATAACGAACAGACTGTAATTCAGGATGTTCTTTAAACAAATCAATCATTCAATCTGGAATTGAATACTGCCACTCGTCATTTTCTTTCACATTTTCCTAATAAGCAAAGAGGAAATTGTTCGAGAAAGCCCGAGAGAGCTCGAGAGAAACGAGAGATTCTCGTCGAGAGATGACACTCCCTCGTCTCGTCTCGAATCTGTTTTCGAGAGAAAATATCTCTCTCGTCTCGTTCGAGACGAGACAAGACGAGACGAGAGACGAGAATCTGTCATCTCGCGGCATCACTACCAACAATCAACAACCCCGCTACATTCTGATTTTCTACTTTAATTTTGATTACCAAAAACTTATCCACTCCAGCATAATTCAATTTTGACAACAATTTTGATGATGTAAGGAATTTCCTTATTAGTATATGAAGGCAATATATACAAGGTGGACCACCAGGAACTGCATCAATCGATATCTCATAAGCTGGATGTAGAAAAAAAAATTTGGAAACTTGCTAGATGTATTGGGGCCCATTTACCTAAAATATTTTCATCTATAGAGATTTTCCGATTATACCTGAAATATATGGCCCTTATTTTAAATATGACCCTTTTTTTTTTCTCCGGGGCTCGTCTGACTATGTGTCTCTAAATAACACTGAAGCCTATTGGCTTAATGTATTTTATCCCATGTTAGTTCATAGCACCCACTCTGTCATCTTTGTACCTTGTACAAGTTTGTACAGATCCTTGGGAGAGCGGGTTCTATAATACGTTGTTGGATCAACCTGGGGTTGTCCAAAAAGAACCTGTCTTCTGCGATCTAGAGCTTCGCATTCGCACAGTATGTGTTTGGCCGTTTCTGGTTTCTTGTGACATAGTCGGCACATGAGTTCCCCATTGTACATGCCAATTTTGTTCAAGTGTCCCTTTACTGGGGCGTGCCCAGTCATGATCCCTGTTATCACTTTCAACTGGTTCCTATTCATTGAGAGTAGTTCTCCAGTTCTTTTGGGACATGGTCTGCCTATGAAAGCTTTTCCATGTGCCTGTTTTGGGGTGTTTCCCCAATGACCCTTATTACACTTTCTACTTAAAACTCTAGGCAGATTTTATGTGTCATGTCCTATACCTAAGTCTAAGCATTTTTAAGTTTTTATGTTAAAAATGACGTTTGCAAGCCCCAATATAATTATCAATTGTTCCTACATGGAAGCCTTTCCAAATTGAGGCAAATATGAAGTGCTTATTGTGAAACACCTAGCAACCCTTATAATTATATCAATCCTTCTCTGCCTGTTCAATCAATCCATAATCTTTAATATGCAATTAGTAGATCGTACTCCACCATAATTACAAGATTAACATTAAACAACCATCTACATAAGATCGGTGTGTAATTGTGACAATACTGTGAAAGCAGCTCTAAACTATTTTTTTTTGTTGTAAAAATCATAAAGAGCATATTGAAACCCTTATTCAAAAACTGATAATAGAGAATAATATTTCTCTTCTGGTAAATATTACGAGTTTGTTAGCTTTAAACAGCATATCAATTTTTGACAAAATTATCGAATTTTTAAAAGTAGCTAATAAAACAATATAAGTGAAGAGGTTATCATAATGCTATTTCTAAAAATAATTATAACCCTATCTATCACTTAAAATAATTTAATAGATTTTTTGATAATAATTGCTCTGTGTCACATTATTAACGGACCACCCCGTAGAAAACCTTATACAAAGTTATCTTTATTTTTGATGCTAAATGCTACAAAATTAGAAAAATGTGGGATTTTCCATTTGAAAAAAATTATTTTTTACAGTTTTCTCAATTTCATTTTAAATTTTATTTTTGAACACTCTGTATGATAAGTTATCCAAATATTATAAAAAATTAGAATTATCGTTGGGAGTAGATGACACAACTCCGGTAGATACATCATTTAATAACTCAGTTAGAGTGAATTTCAAAATTCGATGCGGTGCTCCTACTACCCCAGACACAACGGGCCTCGACGTACTCGTACGTGTCCCGTACAATATTAACCACTCAAATATATCAATGGTCTTGTATAATTCAGCACCCCCGGACGTTGCAACCACCCGGGGGGCGGCCGGCAACGTTGCGAAGAGGAGCGGGTCGGGTAGACGACGCGTGTGACGCAGTGTCTGGGCAAGGGGGGCAAGCCGGTGGACTAGCCTAGACTAGGTATTGATCTAGGCCACCTTCACCCACTAATTTCGACGGCAGAGGGCTTCTAACCCTTCCTCTTCCTCCCTTTGGCCCCCTTCTCACTATTCGCCGTTCGAAAACCGCCCCATCCCCAACGCCGGGCGGCGGGGCCGCCGATGCACCAGGACATCTTCACGTCTTGACTTTATAACGCAGTTCTGACGGGCTGTGCCGAAATTGGGCGAGAGGGCGATTTGCCCTTATCGTTTAAACTGCCACGCCAATTTTATGTTTTCCGAAATAAAGTACGTATGTATATTAGTAACAAAATACAGATTTTGAGGAATGAATACTAATTGACAGGCTATTTCATTTAGAATGGGACATACGAGGATTATTGGATAACTACGTGGTCTAACAAAGAAAATGCAAGTTTTTTTTGGACAAAGAATATTTTACTTTTTAATATAGTCTCTCTTGTTCGCTCAACAAACATACTTATTCCAAATTCCAACGATATTCCAAATTGGTAACATCTTTTATCGTCGAGCCATATTTTTAGGTTAAAACAGATAATAATCGCTATGAACCAAATCTAGGGAATAGGGCTATGTACTACTTTAAATATTAATTCATGAATGTTGGCCATTTCAATCGCAGACGTGAAGGAAGGTACGTTATACTGATGGAAAAGCATTTTCTTCTTTACCAAATGAGGTCGGTACTTGATTTTGTAGCTACTATTTTTTCTAAGTAGTCGACCTAGGTATTTTAATGATTATTTCCCTCGCCTGTCAGATTTGAAATTTAAACCAATCACATCGCAATTTACGTTATCGTTAGAACCAATCAGAAACAAATAAATCGACTATTTTCACTGACTATTTGAAATCGACTATCCATGCATGGTGCTCGATATTCACCTATGTTGACGGCAACTCGCATACTTGATTGTAGGTGTAATATTAAAAGTGGTTACTGTCAAATAATATTACGTGTTAGACTAAAAATTAATATATTAGTGAAACGTTTAAAATGAACCGATTTGGGTGTGTTAATAGCGAAGAAATAGACATTTTTTCTACACAATAGTATCCCGAAGAATACAATCAAAAGTAAAAATAGGGTGTGGAATCAGTTTATGAAATTTTGCGTTAAGCGCAAATATTTTTTATCAAATGATAAAACTGTTGCTGAACTATGTAATATCTTAAAAGATTGGGCTTGGAACATGAAAAAAGAAGACGGAAGCGACTACAAAGAGTATTCTTTAAAGTGTATGTGGAACTCAACTGCTAAAACGTTACAAGAAATATATTATCTTAAAAAATTTAATAGAAAGATAGATCCATTTCAAGGTGTTGAATTTAAAAGTGCTCGTGATGCACGAAATGCAAAAAGACGAGAATTGCAGAAATTTTCAGAGAAAAGGAAACGAAGTTCTACAGCTCTAAGTTTAAAACATATACACGATATTATTGACAAATTGGATGAACAAACTCCAGACGGTCTCCAAAAGATTTTCTATTATTTGGCTTCCGTGGAATTAGCTTGGCGCGATGGGGAAGACGCAACATGTTGGACAGAATATTTTAAATTTGAAACCTCTGAAGAGGGTAAAAAAACAGGCAGGTTAGAATATAATCCTATTTTTACGAAAATTTGCCAAGTGGTTGATTTCAAATGCTCAAAATCCGCAATACTACCCAGTTAGATTATTCAAAAAATTGATTGGAAAACGAGGTCCACAATTCACATGTTCACGTTTATTTCTAACTCCAAATCCATTTTGGCAAAATATTAACTCTTTCTGGTACAAAAATTCACCTATTAGATAGAATGAGTTTTCTAAATGGACCAAATTGGATTAGACACCAAGCATTTAAAGATTACTAATCATTCTTGTCGCTCGACAGCAGTCTCTCAACTTGCAAAATCAGGTGTACCGGAGTAACAATTGATTAAAATAACTGGGCATTCTAGTTCATCATCTATTTAACCATACTTACAGATCATCAAAGTGTTATTAACCAACTTCGAGGACATACAGAAAGTCAAGCTTTCACTTCTGTAAATACTGATTTTAATCCGGTAGAAGAAAGTCAAGTTTCTACTGCTACCATGAATACCGCTACTTCGTCAAAAGCAAGACGAATGTCCCAAATTATGCAAACTGGAAATGTCACTTACAATAATTGTTGTTTTAACTTTAACTAATTTTTTTCCAATTTATGAAATAAAAGTTATTTTCATGTGTATTTTATTTTTTTTTTAGTTACAACTAGGGCTCTAGAAATAATGTTACCAAATATATCTCGACCTTAATAAATTAGCGCCTATTTTTATTGTTACTAAATATTTCGTGTATTTTGCAATTTGTCTCAACAATTTTGTCATTAATAATCAAAGAATAAATCCTCGAGCTAAAGCTCTCGGACTCTCTCCAGATTATTAATCACAATATTATGTCTCGACAAATTGGTACCAAAAACACTCAATATTTAGATACAATAAAAATAGTCGACTATTTATCAAGGTCTCGTTATATTACCCTTGATAATCCCAAAACAGTTGAAATAAACTTTCCTGCTGGTAAAACCATTTTTGCCTTCTTTGGTGGAGGGTACACTTTGTTGTATTCATTGTTTGGACTGTTCTTTAGTTTTGGGAGTATAGTGGTGGACCCAGGTTACATCAACGGATATCAAAAGTCGCAAAAAGTCTTTCGTATTATGGTGAAAACGTGTCAAAATATCGCGAGGAACAATCCATCGACTCAGTTTTTTATTCCGGTGTGAGCAACCGCGGCACGCAACGTGTTAATATTTTTTTCATTTTTTATTTGAGATACCCACTATGTCTGCTATCTCACGTACTTTTACTCGGCAGTCATCTAATGTGGAAACCTCCTTCTGACATATAATTTCCAACCAAAAATTTAAATTACAATTCAAAGATCTAAAATACATTTAATGTTTTTTTTTAATAATAAAATTAATAAATGTTTCTTGTTTTCTGAGGTATGCTCCGGCTTCTCTTCTTTTCTGCCACTGCCTAAAATTTTGATCTCAATTAGGGGTAGTTTAAGAACCAGTATATTTTTAATTTATTTTTCTTTTTAAATAATAGAATAAATAAATGTTTCTGTCACTGCTTGATTGTTTTGCTCCTCTTAATGTCTTTTTCTACTTTTTCTGCTATCTGCTACTCTGTCACTGCTAACGTGATTTATCTCTGCTGATGGTCCCTTTTTTTAATAAAATTTCTCTTTACCTTGTTTTCATAACTTTTGTTATTTATTTCCTAACAAACAATTCCAATTATAAATCCAACAAATTCCAATTACAATTAGATATTCCAGCGACCTGTCAAACAATAGCTGTCAGTGAGAACGGTTCTTATATCTAAGGCTGTTGCGACATAGCCCTCCATCTCGGGTGTTATTTTTATTCGAAATAGTAGTCGCCAAGCCATCAATTTATGACAAATGTATAAGCAGTTTTTTAAAAATAATATTTTCATTATGTTCGATATAAAATATTTAAATTTAATCCATAATTCATGATTTTACGTATTGTAGATATTGTTACGCTGGTTTTTGGTATCACAATTTATTTCAACTCAATTTTTACAACAATTATACAACTGATAACGTTAACAAGTAACCTCTATCATAAAACTAAAACTCTGACGTCAGGACGTCGATTTATATAGCTTGCCTCGACCTTCTAGAACCTTCTCGAACAATCCGGACTTTTCTATGACAAGGAATGACATTTCGAGACATTTCTGGATTATTTTATCTTCTTTCTTTACCCGTACCTTTACTTATGACGACCGCAGCATGCTACAAGGTGCTGCGTAACATTGCTCCCTCCTCTCTAGTTATTCGCTCCGAATAACTTGATTACTGGGACCTAGCTGGAGCCAATGGGGAGGATATGGACCATGGTATGGGGCTATCTTTCCACTGTGCACTACGTTGGATTTATCTCCCGCTGACAGTTGAATGCGGCAGATCAGGACGTTGATTTTCCTTAAGGACAGAGTAGGGGCCTCGCCTGTTCCGTTGCGATTTCTGACAAAGTCTTCCTCGCTGCTTGGGATTGCACCGCCATACCTTGCCGCCCCTCTCAAAATGTGTATCTGTGGCACGCCTGTCGATTCTAGCTTCTGCTTTATCGGTGTGGGCTTTCAATCATTCCCTAGCGAATCCATAGACCTTTGTCCTGCCATTGCATACATCACATCTTTTACACCAATCCGCTACATCCCGTCGGCAATTGACCCAATAAAATCTTTCTCGAACTCGTGCCAGTGTCCTTTTAGTATCAAAGTGCCCTCCTGAACGGCTGCTATGAAGCTCCTCCAATACATTTCTCACCTGTGACCTCGGCAATATCACTTGGCGGACTACATATACTCCATCGGGGCTCTCTCACTTTCGGTGCAATAGGCCACCGTGAAGATACAGGGAATGTCACTGGGTCCAGTAGCCTTCTATCTATCTTGGCTATCTCTTGCCAAGTAGGTGTGACTTTATTTTGAGCCATTCTCTGACAACCTTTAAGTCATTGTTTTTCTTCTGTCCCTGTCTCAGACTTTCAAGGGTGATTTCTGGCTTGATAGTGGTTGCCCGAAGGATAACTTTATCAACTGGTTCCTCCCGTTCTCCGAGCCCCTTACTGTGCTGGCATTCTCGTTCTAATCAGGGTCGCCTAAAGAGAATGTCTGCGTTGCTATACAGATGGCCTCTACGATGCTCTACTTTCTGATTATTGCCAGAAAACTGGCTCAGTGTGGGTAATTGGCTACTTCGGGACGCATAGCTGCTGTGACTATTTCTTGTAGGACTTCGTAACGGGCTTTGAAAGATTGATATTCGTGACTTTCCGGCCTCATTCCCTGATTCTCTATTCATACAAGGAGCTCTGCTTCTACCTGTTCTTTGAAGGTGCCCGATTCTTTCGCAATTGAAGCATCTTCTGTTCTTATTTTGGCTATTTCGTTGTATATTTTGCAGGATATTTAATATTTGCGAAGGGGTAGGTTGGGGAATAGCATTAGCATTGGGGTCCTCACTTTTCTGGGATTTTTTATTTCTCTTATTTTTGCGCGAGAAGATCTGGATATGAGTTTTACTGTTTCATATTCCTGGGCTGCAATCAGTTTCTCCTTCAGCGTCTTGTGATGTTCAAGACGAAGGACTTGCTGCATTTCCGCATCTTGTAGTTCATCAATGAATACCTCTATTCCGATTTGTTCTTGGAAATCTTTGGGCGCCTGTGGATAGACCAGATCAATCAATCAGCCCCGAATTCCTGTAGACTTTCATTATGTTTCTGACTACGAATCTTCAGCTGGCTTTGAAATACCCGTTTCAAATGCTGCTGGCCATATCTTGTCTCCAAAGCTTGAACAAGAGATGAATAGCTAGGTTCTGCTTGGGGAAGTAACTGTAAAATGGTTGCTGCCTGACCTTGTAGTGAATTCTTTTTTCTAACTCAACTATTTTAGTTCTAATTTGCCTTTCCAAGTCTGCTGTAGCCTTTTCTTGTTGTTGCTCTAAATTAACTTTTAAATTCTCTTGTTGTTCTAAATTAGTTTTCATATTATTTTGCTGTTGTTCCAAATTTGCTTTTAAATTCTCTTGCTGTTGCTCTAAATTAGTTTTTAGATTCTCTTGTTGCTCTTCTAAATTAGTTTGTAAATTTTCCAAATTAGTTTTTAAGTTTTCTTGTTGTTGGGGTAAGATATCTACTCGACTGTTTAGTTGACCTATCTCTTGCTTGAAATTTTCCTGAATTTTTACTAAACCATTTACAATTTCTACCTATGCCTTCCTACGCCTTTCCTTTTCCTCCTCTTCTTCCTTCCTACGCCTTTTCTTTTCCTTCTATTCTTCCTTCCTACGCCTTTCCTTTTCCTCCTCTTTTTCCTTCCTACGCCTTTCCTCTTCCTCCTCTTCTTCCTTCCTACGCCTTTCCTTTTCCTCTTCCATCTTCAAAAACCATGCTGGTGGGCCTGAAGTATCCATGTCTGCTTCGTACTTAGTGGATCTAGTATTTACCATAAACTTTTACTTTTTATTCCACTGCTGTCACCATTGTTACGCTGGTTTTCGGTAATACAATTTATTTCAACTCAACTTTTACAACAATTATACAACAAGTAACGTCTGTTATAAAACTGAAACTCTGACGTCAGGTCGTCGACTTATATAGCTTGCCTCGAATTTCTAGAACCTTCTGGAACAATCCGGACTTCTCCTTGATGAGGAATGACATTTGTGGATTATTATATCTTCTTTATTTACTCGTACCTTTACTTATGACCACTGCAGCATGCTACAGGGTACTGCGTAACAATATAATACATTTTATGTCGCAACCTTTTAGGTATACCAACCCTCCCCACCGACAGTTTTCTTGCTTGGAATGCTTAATTTCCAGTATATCTATTACTTTCTCAAAAATCTTTCTGCCTTCTCTCCGTTTATTTGACGATCCCTCTTTAAATTCCAAATCATCAACAAAAACAAAATTTTTTCTGACCTCTTCAACGATCATGCTTACATTTTCTTTGAATCCGTCAGTTTTATATTATGAATTAAACTTTTTCTCCATACCTACTGCACGCCTCTGGTAATGATAATAAACTCTCTTTTGCACAATTCATGTATTAAATTATTGACAATTTTTAATTTTTAACAGG